TTGTAACCTTTTTCATAGCATTCTTTTACTTGCTGTGACAGAACGCTTGCTACATTTCTTAAGTTGTAACATAGGGAGGGATAAGAAGGGCTAGTGGATGGTTGGCGGGTGCTCTGGTGTGGTTTTCTCCTTCTTTCTCATCAAACATCTATCGTCCTCATATCTCTTTCTTTTCTTTGTATGTTACTCTCTTTTGATTTTGTTAATCTTTAGCACTTACATGACATAAGGGGGGTCTGAGTGTGTAAGTTGTGCATTTTTGTGGTGGAAAATTTGTTGGTTATTTTTAGTAGAGACGGGCGGGAATCGCTTTTTTCCTCCCGAGTGAGAAGACCGAGAAGGTGACCTACTTCTCGCCAGGACCGGTCCCAAGAAGTAATTCTCGTCTCGTGTCCAATTTCTCTTCTTGCCCCGTGGGACGAGCAACTCGTTCGGCGAGAAGGCCGGCAGTGATGGGGATCTAAACTAGGCTAGCCCTGTTGTGCAGGCGGTGAAGGAAGGTAGGGAGACCTAGGCCTAGGCCCTGATCAACTCCCCACTCGGCCTCGTCTTGCCACCCTCCCCGCTCCCTTTCAGTTTCACACGCAGGACGGCACGGTGATGGGTGGCACTGTCTGCGTGTCATTTCTCGCCTCTCACTCTCACTCTCGTTGCTGTTACTTGTTATGTTAAGCCGATGAGCAGTATCTCTTATCGGTACCGGGCAGTAGTTTAGTGCCCGGGCAGCGACGGGAAGGGCATTTCTAGCGAGAAATGAGTGCTCGTCTCGTGCCCGCCCCTATTTTCTGGCATTACTGTTTACGGACTTGCTGAAGCTTAAAAACTATGAGCTTTCAAAACAGGATTTGCAAATATGATGATGAGAACGAAGCCCATTTATAAGTCAAGAGAGACCTATAAGAAATATTTCAGACATTATTGTAGAAGGTGTCCTTGGGATAGACTGAGTTTATTGCTTGCAGAAAAGAGTTTGTGAAGGGTTTAAAGGGGGTTTACTTGTCCTTTTCCAATCATCTTGATCAGCGGCATACGTAGTCTGATTTTTTTTCGTTTTGAGAAGTGAGCGAGCTATGCAACTGCTAGCCACTATTTGTGTGGTTTATTAATTTGAATTTTTGTTGGAACATTTGTCGCCCTCTTGCTTTGGGATGAAATATTTATGAGTCGTTGATGGTTGTGGCTTTTTGAACTCCAATCTATTAGTTGAAATTTTTTGGTTACTCTGTCGTTTCTATTGTACCCCCTGGGGCAGTGCCACTGACTGTAATGTCTCTAGGCCATTCCCAAACAGGGGACATTTCTCGTTCAAAGTTCAAGCACAGTAGAATTGTAAATGGGATTCATCATGTCACGCTCATCACTGTGCCTGATCTACAACAGGGAACTGCTGCTTTTTCTTTCCTAATCCTTACTATATCTATTGTCATTTTCCCCTACTTCTTTTGTATGTTTGTCACACTGTTGTGACCCGCTATTTTCGGGGTGACTTGATAGTCGGAGCAGACGTGCTGTTGAGGCTAGACAGGTGAGCAGAGTAAATCTGATTCTCTGTAAGGACTTCTCTGTTGACACCCACCCCTTGGCGCTCATATGATCTTATGCAGTTGCGAGCGCCGTAAAACCCTCTACTGTAATAAAAAAGTTTCTATTGGTATTTATTTTTGCATCTCAAAATGCAGACTGTTGTATTGATTTGTTTCTCATAATTTAGCGTTTCCCTGACTTTATCTCTCGTGGTGGGTGGGTGCACTGCTGTGGTTTTCTTTTTTTGTTAGCATCTGTGGTCCTCATCTCTCCTCGTTTTTTTGTGTGATTGTGTGTGTGTGTAAAGTGTGTTTGTTACTCTCTTGTGACACCTCTAATCTTCGGCATTTATATATGACCTTGTGTTGCAAGTGCTGTAAAACTCTTACTAAAACAAAAACCCACAACCTCCCCAGGTTGCTGCTGCTGCGGGCCTCCCAGAGGAGCTGGTCTCAAAAGCCAAACAGAGCAGGAGTGAGAAGAAAGCCAGAAAGGCCATGTCCAAGCTTGGTATGATGAAAGTCTTTTGTTTTAAAAAAAAATGTTTTTCCCTTTAAAAAAAAATATATTTGTTCTACTTAAGTGGCATTTGCAGATCTGCCACGCACTCTGATAAAATTAAAACTCACTGGAACACACACACACACACCCCAAGTCAAATAACCTCGATTGAAATTTGCATGCAGTCCTCTTTATTTTCTCGGACTTTCCATCCATCATTAGCAGCTATCATAAGTGACGTTAATTGGTCACTTAGAATAGTGCCCGGGTGGATCCGGTTGTTTTTCTCTCTGTTCCCCTGTTCGTTTCTATTTTATATCCCGACACACCTTTCTAAAAATAGTAATTTGTACACTGAAATTTTAATTTTAATAAAATAAAAACAAAATGGCAAGTAAATTGACTCCAGAAATAGTTCCTCCATCCCCCAAAAACACATTAGGGCGCCAAGATTCTGTCAAACACTCCAATTAATTACTGAGATGTCGTTGATTTTCTTATAAATAAAATGTTGTTACGTGGTCTGCTTTTTGAGAGTATTGTCCAATATATGGGTCATCCATGTTTTGCCGCACTTAACAATCCCACAACTTTTTTAAAGAACCGATTCTTTAAATAAAAACTTAATGCATAGAATAGAACATTCCTTCGTGGGTACCTAGCGAAAAATCAATTTTTCTTGGGCCTTGCTAATAAACGGGTTCCCTTTTTGGTTTTGAAGAGAGACACGTATTTTGATATACCGGTAATCTTAAAAAAGCCGGAGGTATGCAAATGGTCTAGATCTAGTGTGTGTTATTTTTTTTTCACGAATAAGGTACTTGAGCTTGTGGATGGTTGCTGGGTGCTCTACTATGGTTTTCTCCTTTCCTAACATCTATCGGTATATTTTTCCTTCTTTCCTGTCAATCAAACATCCATTGTTGTTTTCTCTCCATCTTTCTGAGAAAACTTTTGTCGTCCTCATATCTCTTCCTTTTCTTTGTATGTTACTCTCTAGTAACAGCTAGTCTTCCTCCCTGATATGACCTATTTGTGTTGCAAGCGCTGCCAAACTTTCACTAAAACTAAATAAAAACTAGAACCAAGAAACCACTTAGGTGGCTGGTTGGCTGGTGCGCTTTGCTCCTTCTTTCCTGTCAAACATCTATCGTCCTTATCTCTCCTACTTCTTTTTTGTATATGATGTTACTCTCTTGTAACACCTCTGTTCTTCAGCACTTACATGACTTTATTGTGTTCCCAGTGCGGTAAAACTCTTTAAAAAACAAAACAAAAAACACTTCTGTTTTTCTGTAGCACAGCTTCATGATCTGAGGTTCTGCAAGGTTCTCATGCTCTGGTTCTCAGTTGTTGATTTCTGTGTGTGTGTGTGTTCGCAGGTCTGAAGCCCGTCCCAGGAGTCATCCGGGTCACGATCAGAAAGGCTAAAAATATCCTGTTTGTCATCAGCCGGCCAGATGTATTCAAGAGCCCTGCGTCTGACACCTACATTGTATTTGGAGAGGCTAAGGTATTGTTGTTACTTGTCACTGAAGTGTGTTGATGGTTATGAATGCAGATAATTTCTATAGCGCCTACTCCTGTGCAGTACCAGTGGTAGGTGCTTTACGAAGCCTTCTTCTCAACACAAAACATTTCTGAGGGGGGGGGGGAGCTGGACTTTAAAAAATGGGCTTTAAGTCGGCCGGTTTCATTGAAAACTGCATCAGAACCACGAAAAGGGATATTACTGGGTGGTTGTTTTTTTTTCCACGTGGTGTTCATCTTAAGAAAAAAAATCACCAAAAATTGTCCAGAGCACCTCTATATATGAAATAGAATTATGTTAAAAAATTAATGAAGCTGAGGTGTGAACCCACACACCACCTTTCAACATTGCACATCTTCACAATGTGCACAACCACACACACACACACACACACGCGCGTTTTTGAACATGAATTACAATTACATAATGATGTGACAAGAAAGAAACTTCTCCCGACTACATGCCCGCTATTGTGTGGATATGCTTCTCATTCTTCATACTTTCTTGGCGTTCCCCAGATTGAAGATCTGAACCAGCAAGCCCAGGTAGCAGCTGCCAACAAGTTCAAAACGTTTGACGGTGCCGGGGAGCAGGCCAGCACCATCTCGCAACCCATCCAGGAGGAATCCGAAGAGGAGGATGAGGAGGTCTGTACTCGATCGTAATAAATAATGTAGATCAATTTTATGTAGCACCCTACGACCGTCCATGTTAACGCAGCTCTTGGTGCTTTAACTCCTTATCTCTGGCAAGCCGCTCTCAGCGGCTCGGGCACATTCCCTTTCGGCGACTTCGACGTCAAATTCCTTTTCCGCAATTGCTGAAAACAGGCCTCTTTTAACGGGATTTCGTTCATTCGATGTACTGTTGAAGTGGGTTCACTTGTTTTAATGACCAATTTAGTGACGGATATATATGTGTCAGTTTTAGATTTTGTACCTAAAGAGGGTTCCCCCCCCCCCGAGATAAAGAAATAAGGATTAATCTGATGAGTAGATCTGTGCTGCCCTAGAATATATAATGTAGATCGTTTGTTTAGCGCCTACTCCCGTGCAAACACAGCTCTTGGCGCTTGACGGAATTGTAAGTGCGAGTTTGGAAATGAACAATACTATAGTGTTGTAGGATCTGCTGGAATAACACTGGTTGTAAAATGCATAGAGGGTGCTGTAAAGAGTGGATATCATGGGTAACATAAATGCAACATGTGGCGTGTTGGTGGCCTTGTGGTTAAGCTACCGGACTCGCAATCGTGATGTTGCGGGTTCGGGGGTTCGAGCCGTGGGCCAAACGTTGTGTCTTTGGGAAAGGCACTTTACACGAATTTTCCTCACTTCACTTAGGTGGAAATGGGTACCCGGTAAAAGACAGCGAAAGATCTTGTTAGTATGTTAGTATTTTGGGGTCCATAAATGGCGGCTTGCTCTGTGTGCTTCCCAGGAATTTGAGATTGTTTCAGAATGCTCTCAGGTCTGCTGGGGTAATAGTATAGATTGTGAAGCGCTTAGAGCTTGCTGTTGAGCGGGGATTTGCGCTATACATATGCTATCTGTTACTGAACTTTCATTATTATGTTTATTATTGTTGTCATTATGTTGTGTTGCTTTCCCCCCCAGATTGACGAGACTGGAGTTGAACCTAAAGATATTGAGCTTGTCATGTCCCAGGCTAACGTGTCCCGAGTCAAGGCTGTCAAAGCGCTCAAAGATAACGGGAACGACATCGTCAATGCCATTATGGTAAGTGCAAGATGATTTTTGTGGGACTTGCATCTCTCGTGGCTTTTGTAGGTGTCGCTGTGGAAGTGGATGATTTTGTATGAGACTGGGCAGCAATAGTATAAGTGTCTTTATCTCCCCCTCCTTCTTTTTTGTGTTTGTTACTCCCTTGTAACACCTCTAATCCTCTGGCGCTCGTATGACCTTATGCAGTTGCGAGCGCCGTAAAGCCTCTACTAAAACTAAAAACTCTGTCTAAATATGAAATTTTTAGTGATTGACTGAAAAGAAGTACAGGCATGTACGCGGGCAGTATTGCATACAGACGTACATCATTTTTGGCGGCCTTTGCGATTACGTTTGTATGCAATACTGCCCGCGTGTAGTATTACTTTTTGGTGATATGTCTGCTTCTGGCGCTACTGATATCTGTCAAGGTTTCTTTGGGTACTTTACCTTTAGCTCTCCACTTTGCCCATCACTGGGCGCCAGTTGCCCTTGTCATTTGATAGAGGATAGTGTCAGCATAGCGCGTTACATAGTTGGGTTTGATGTCATGCTGGAAAAAAAAAGAAATTTTCTTGTTTGAGGACAAAAAATGTACAATGTATTTTCATTTCTTGGCTAAATATATAGTTAATGGTTTGTTTTTTTATAAACAAGCCAGTGTGTTGTTGTAAACATGTCTGCACTTTGCCCTTCACTGGGTACCAGTTTGCCCGAGTGATTTGTCTCAGAAAGTGCTACAGGAAATTGCTTGTAACCTTTTTCATAGCATTCTTTTACTTGCTGTGACAGAACGCTTGCTACATTTCTTAAGTTGTAACATAGGGAGGGATAAGAAGGGCTAGTGGATGGTTGGCGGGTGCTCTGGTGTGGTTTTTTCCTTCTTTCTCATCAAACATCTTTCGCTCTCATCTCTCTCCCCCTTCTTTTCTATGTATGTTACTTTCTTTTGATTTTGTTAATCTTTAGCACTTACATGACATAATTGTGTTGCAAATGCTGTAAAACTCAAACCCCCCCCAAAAATATTTGAAACGGTGGGCTTTTCCTCTTTTTCTGTCACATTTGCCTGTATGTTTGAGTTACTTACAATATTAAGAACGGGGGGGGGTAGGTGCAATATACAGGAAAGTAGGAACGTTTACTGAGTGGGAAACTTGAGGGATTACCTTCTCTGGGAGACAGTGGTGTGGAAATGGAAAACGAAAAAACTTTGGTGTGGTGTGGTTTGCTCGTTCTTTCTTATCAAACATCTATCGTCCTTGTCACTCTTTTTCGTTTCTCCGTAGTTATTTTCGAGTCACTATTTACACCACAAATCTTCAGCACCGATAGGACTTTTTTGTGTGTGTTTGTGTGTAAATGCTGTTAAACTTTTATGAAAACGTGTAAAATGTTCTCCATTCTTTAATGCACAAGAGTTTTGCAGTTTGGATTTGCTTTTGTTTTTTCTCTTTATTTAGTTTTGTCCATAGTTAAGGTTTTTGATCAACAGGCCAGTGTGTAGTTGTAAACATGTCTGCACTTTGCCCTTCACTGGATACTTGTTTGCCCGAGTGATTTGTCTCAAAAAGTGCTACAGGAAATTGCTTGTAACCTTTTTCATAGCTTTCTTTTACTTGCTGTGACAGAACGCTTGCTACATTTTAAAAAAGTTTTTAACATAGGGAGGGATAAGAAAGGCTGGTAGGTGTGGTTTGCTCTTTCTTTCTCATCAATCATCTATGGTCCTTGTCACTCTTTTTCGAATCTCTAGTAACACCTAAGCGTTGGCACTGAGAGGATGTTTCTTTCTTTTTTCTTTTTTTTTTTGTGTGTTTGTAATTCCTGTAAAACTTTACTTTAAAGGGGTGGGGGGGGGGGGTAGGTGCAATCTACAGGAAAGTAGGAACGTTTATTGAGTTTGAAACTTGAGGGATTACCCTCTCTGGGAGGCAGGCTGGAAATGGAAAACGAAAAAACTTAGGTGTGGTGTGGTTTGCTCCTTTTTTCTTGTCAAACATCTATCGTCCTTGTCACTCTTTTTCGTTTCTCCGTACGTTATTTTCGAGTCACTATTTACACCACAAATCTTCGGCACCGATGGGACCTTTTTGTGTGTGTTTGTGTGTAAATGCTGTTAAACTTTTATGGAAACGTGTAAAATTTTCTCCATTCTTTAATGCACAAGAGTTTTGCAGTTTGGATTTGTTTTTGTTTTTGTCTCTTTATTTAGTTTTGTCCATAGTTAAGGTTTTTGATAAACAAGCCAGTGTGTTGTTGTAAACATGTCTGCACTTTGCCCTTCACTGGGTAGCAGTTTGCCCGAGTGATTTGACTCAAAAAGTGCTACAGGAAATTGCTTGTAACCTTTTTCATAGCATTCTTTTACTTGCTGTGACAGAACGCTTGCTACATTTCTTAAGTTGTAACATAGGGAGGGATAAGAAGGGCTAGTAGGTGTGGTTTGCTCCTTCTTTCTCATCAATCATCTATGGTCCTTGTCACTCTTTTTCGAATCTCTAGTAACACCTAAGCTTTGGCACTGAGAGGATGTTTCTTTTTTTTTTTTGTGTGTGTGTTTGTAATTCCTGTAAAACTTTACTTTTATGGAAACATAAATGTACTCCCTTTTTTTAAATCGGCCTACTCGAGTTTTAGAGTTTGGATTTTTTGTTGTTGTTGTTGTTGTTGTTTTTTTCTCTTTATTTAGTTGAGCTTGATGGTCCTGCTAGTGGAAAAAACCAACTAAATGTTTTTGTCATAGTCATAGTTAAGGTTTTTGATAAACAGACAAGTGTGTTGTTTTTAACATGTCTGCACTTTGCCCTTCACTGGGTAGCAGTTTGCCCAAGTGATTTGTCTCAGAAAGTGCTACAGGAAATTGCTTGTAACCTTTTTCATAGCATTCTTTTACTTGCTGTGACAGAACGCTTGCTACATTTCTTAAGTTTTAACATAGGGAGGGATAAGAAGGGCTAGTGGATGGTTGGCAGGTGTTCTTGTGTGGTTTGTTCCTTCTTTCTCATAAGACATCTGTTGCTCTCATCTCTCTCCCCCTTCTTTTCTATGTATGTTACTTTCTTTTGATTTTGCTAATCTTTAGTACTTACATGACATATTGTGTTGCAAGTGCTATGAAACTCCAATAACAAAAATTATAGGAAAGGTTAATTGAGCTTCATGGTCTTGCTAGTGAAAAAAGAACAGCTAAATGTTCTTTTCATAGTCATAGTTAAGGTTTTTGATAAACATTCCAGTGTGTTGTTGTAAACATGTCTGCACTTTGCCCTTCACTGGGTACTAGTTTGCCCGAGTGATTTGTCTCAAAAAGTGCTACAGGAAATTGCTTGTAACCTTTTTCATAGCATTCTTTTACTTGCTGTGACAGAACGCTTGCTACATATATGATGTTATGACACTGTTGAGATTGATTTGTATGGATCTCTGTACGCTCAATTCCAGGTGTCTGAAAATTCATACATAAATTTTTTTCGTAGGTAGTCGTCAAGGCACCTCTGTTTGTTAATGTGGGTCGTGTTTTTACATTTTTTAGATTCAGTTTTGAATTGTAACATTCTTTTGTGTCTTTTCTTTCTTTATACCTTTTGTTTCCTTCCACCAAATAACCGGAGGGGGGGGGGGGGTATTTTAATGTTATTTAGAAATGTTTTTTAAGAACAGTTTTTTTTTTACCACAAATATTTAACATTTTAATCGAAATAATGACCAAGATCAAGCCATGGTGTGAATTGTTGTGAATGCAACCACTTGTGTTTCACACATTTGGCCGCCCTAGTACAACAACCCTGTACCTCCCCACAAAAACAAAATTTTGCAGGAGAAGGAAAAAACTTTGTCAATTTATCCAGCAGTGTTTTTAAAAAATGAAAATCTGAATGTTACACTGTCGATGTTTATTGAGCTACATGTCTAAAAGTTTTTAACACAAAATCCGCAACGTTACATCATTTAGTAGGGGGAAAAAGCAAAAAAAAAAAGTGGGTTTTTTTTTACATAGTGTGAGTTACTTTGCTCAGGGTTGTTGTACTCAGGAGATGATTTGTCTGTCCCTAGCGTGGAGTTAACCCATGCTTGACTCTGTTCTCTCTAAAAGTTTGTAATTGTTGTCATTGTTGGGTGGGTGGTTGGCGGGTGCTCTGGTGTGGTTTGCTTCTTCTTTCCTATCAAACATCCATCTTCTTCATCTCCCCCTCCTTCTTCTTTTTTGTGTTTGGTACTCTCTTGTAACAGCTCTAATCTTGTGGCACTTTATATGACCTTATGCAGTTGCCAGCGCTGTAAAATCTCTACTCAAACTAAAAAAACATCTATCTTCATCTCCCCCTCCTTCTTCTTTTTTGTGTTTGTTACTCTCTTGTAACACCTCCTGTCTTCGGCACCTTATGACCGTATTATAATAATAAATAATAATATACCTTATTGTTCTGCAAGTGCCGTAAAACTCTTACTAGAACAAACAATTAATTTGTTGCGGTTTTGTTCCTTCCTCAGGAGTTGACGATGTAGCCTTCCCGCCTGCCTGCCTGTGATGTGTTTTGCTGCGTGTGATTGGTCTGCGTCTGAGGAGTGTGCCTGCTTGCTATATATTACCCCCCACCCCATTTCGTTATCTTTAATTAATAAAAAAAAAAAAAGAAAATCAAACTGTACAAAAAGGTGTTTCTGTTGGTGTTTTTTTTTGTGTGTGTGCGTGTATATTGTTTAGATTTAGAGTGTTGCTGTATGTGATGTTGAAGAAATAGCTATATTTATAATTTATAGGTCTATACTTGCATTGCTGCTGTAAGCTCACAAAACACCTTTTTTTTTTTTTTCATTTTGGCGCCACAATTGTTTATTTGCTAAGTCTAAAACCTTGTCAAAAAATAATAATAATGATAAAATAATAAATTGCATTTATATAGCGCATTTCCACAAAGAAGTGCTCAATACGCTGTACAATAATACAAAGAACATATGAAGCGCACAGCTCCTATAGTAATCCTCTTTCCCTCTCTCTCTCTCTCTCTCTCTCACTAGTCTCACTCTGCCTCTCTCTCTCTCTCTCTCTCTCTCTCTCCAGTAGCCTACATCCTTGAATCCAATTGACACTGTTATTATTTTTAAAAATAAATTAGAATTCTAATTTCGGAATGACTTTTTAAATGATTACGTTGACAATAAACTTCTTTTTCTTGAAAGTGCTCTGAACTCTGAAGAGAAAAAAGGGTGTTTTGTCAGCTTACGGCAGAGTAGTGCTCAGTGGGTGGCTGGCGGTTGCTCTAGTGTGGTTTGTTTCTTCTTTCCTATCGTCCTTATCTCCCCTTCTTCGTTTTTATGTTTGTTACTCTCTTGTAACACCTCTAATCTTCTGGCGCTCTTATGACCTTATGCAGTTGCGAGCGCCGTAAAACCTCTACTAAAACTTTAAAAAACTAAGAGTAGTGCTCGGTTACTTTTGGAAGAGCAAGGACAGACGGATGTAGTTTTGTCCCTGTGGTTTTAAGCACCCACCCCGCATAATTTAGCAAAATTTGATCATTTTTTGCATAATTTCTGATTATTTTCCTTTATCATTCTTTGTTAAAATTAGCAGAATCAGAATCGCATAATTTCGCTTTTTTGGGGTCAGTTTGCATAATTTCAGAATTTTTCTTGCTTAAAACGACGGGGACAGGCAGTTGTGTCGGCACGCTGTGGAGTCTCGTGCGTGCCACTGACTGACGTGTCTTCAGGCGATTCCCAAAGTTTTTGGGGAGATACTAACATGTTCTTCTGCACAGTAGAAAATTTTTTGTATATGGTCGCTTTTAAGGACAAGCGGGGCTAACCCAACTTTCCGGGGTTTCCAGAAATGTTCACTTACACCAAAAGTGGACATTATAGAAGTTTGGTTTCATTGGTGTGTATAATTTTGCTTAGTTATAGAGACAACTCTCCTTGCCTTTTAAAGATACTGAACAAGGGGCAAAAACTTTACCTTCAATTTTCTCAAAACCGCATTTTTCAGGCTAGCTCCCTTGTGCTTAAAAGCGACCATATATGGGCTGATTTATCAATGTCATTTTCATGTTGTGCCAAAACAACATAGAGGTTCGGAACTGCTGCTTTCTCTGTCCTTATCCTTACTATCGTCATTTCCCTCTACTTTTTTACGTTTGTCACTCTCTTCTGGCATCTCTGCAAAAGTTGCCATTAATTTTCAAGCTTTCAACACTCTGTGACGACGTATATATAGCTAATGTGGATAGAGGTAACTTAATCTAAATTTAAGCACCAGAGTTTCATTTGTAGCCACACAGAGCGGAGAGTGTAAAGACGTGATAAATATAAAGGCTTCACAACAGAATGAAATCAAAATTAGAACAGCACATAAACGAAACGACCATGAAAACCGATTCACATGTAGAAGTGTGCTGCGATGGAACGGTATTCAGTCTAATGAGAACAGCCAGTGAGCAAACAGAAAGCGGTCTTCAAACACAGCGGACTTTTTCCGTCGCCGCACACCGCTTCTTGCGAATCGGCCTTGAGGGTGGTGTCAACAAGTGAGAAAGAGACGAAGTGAAGCGGTAGTGAAAATAAACGTTCTCTTTAAAAGTAAAGAGGTTCGGTTTCTTTTTTGGGGGGGGGGATTTTTATTCCCCGTTTTGGGGATGTTTTTTTAAAATAGATTTTTTTTCTCGTGGACCTAAAAATGCCAAAAACCGCGCCGCGTCAAACGCAGATGCTAGTCTCTTCTGAACTGCTTTTACTTTTTGCGGAGTGCCTTGATAGTCGAAGCTGATTTTGTGCTGTTGAGGCTAGAGAGGTGAGCAGAGTAAGCCTGATTCTCTGTATGGACTTTTCTGTTGACATCCACCCCTTGGCGCTCATCATATATATGATCTTGTGCTTGTGAGGGCCGTAACACCTTACTTATACTATGACTATAAACTAAAAGGTGTCACGACGCGGTGGAATCGGGCGCTCGTCAATTTTTGGGCATGTGGAGTTGCTGGTATCATCTTAAAGCTTTTGCAGCTGTCTTGCTTCTATCTATCAGTCAGTGAAAAAAAATGCCCATCTATCTTGAATTAGGTACCACAAGCGAAATTTAAAAAAAACAATACTGACGTTTAAACCTCAGGGGTTCAAATCTATTCTATGAAACAAGAACATTAAAAAAAGAATTATCAAAATCCATCAATAAACAATCGAGATATGGTATTTCAAAGTTTAATTTTTGAACTAAAACTTTTCAACTGCGACTTTCACCCATGTTTGAGGTGTTCTGAAATACAAAGTGCATGATCAAATCAATGAAAACCTTTGTTTTTCCCAGAGCTGTCAACACAAATATTGATATCTCTAAATCAAAGCATGTTAGAATGACTGGTTTCCAAGATATAGGCCTTCAAAAATTGAAAAAAATGCCAAAATTTGTCATTAACTTGAATGAAGTCAAGATACATATAATATTTGTTATTGAAGGAGGTGGGGTCGCCTGGTTTCAAAGGTAGAATTGGTTAAGAATTGGCTGCCAAAGTTTGGTTATTTCCATAGCTTGATAGTCCGTGGAAATTGAGAACTTACTTTATTAGGGCCTTTAACTAGTTTAACTTTAACTTTAATCAACGTTTTTCAGTCAAATCCTCCCAGAAATGTGTTTTTTTTTACTCTTCCTGCAGGAGGTAATTAACTTAATAATAGATAAATCTATATAAGATAAGATACATCTTTATTGTCCAGATCCTGACACATTGGTTTGATGTTTCACCACATGCACACACACGTAGGCTTACAATCACCTGCATAATATAAATGAGCATCAATAAAAACAATAATAATCGTAAGCTGGATACACACTCAATGTTATTTGATGCATGCTCTAAGGTCGTAAGACGTAAGTACATGTATACTTATACAAGATAGAGTTGACAGTAAGGTTGGAAGTCAGCCTCCTAAATTATCGAAATTGTGCCTATGAGGGTGTAAAAAAAAAATATAGACTTCAACTTCAACATAAGTTTAGGACCACCTTGACAGACAGCCCTGATTTGTTTAAATCCGAAAAAAAAAGACAGCAAGGAATGTCTAAAAACTTTTTGCTCTGAAAGTGTTAATGGGTTACCAATGCGTACTGCAAAGCTGCCTAAAGCTGTCCCTGTAGAATTATGCAAGTTTAGATGGCCAAATTATGCAAGATAAATGCAAAATTATGCAAGTTACCGTAACGCCATTCACGTCATGCTTTGCACTTTTTCAACAAGAATTTTCATTTTTTAAGTTCACAAAAAGTGAAAGCAGAACTTATATCAGTCATTTTTTGTGCATTTGGAAATAAAACAATACACATCAGTCAGAAAACCCCCCAAACAAAAAGCATAATCTCTGTGACTTTCAGCTGTTGATCTACTATGACTATGAGGAAAGAAAAAATGTGAAAAAAAAATATATCTGGACCTCTGATCCTGGCACATCACTAAAACCAGGGACACCTGTCAAACATGAAACATCAGCAGACATGAGAACAACTTTTGAGCTTTTATAAAATTGAACATGCTTCTAAAGGAACTAAATCCCTAGCCCATAACCATTATTAATGAAGATTTTCTAATCTAACCATGAACAAGGGAAATAACCCACTTATCACTTAAATGAGACTTATTACGGTGATTATTTCCATTTCGTCAAATGGCGAGGCGTTAACTTGATGTTTTCTGAAGAAATGAAATTTAAAAAACTTTAAAAAACGCGGGAAATCCAAAATGTATGCAAATTGAATGTTGCAGAAATACTCGAAAAAAAAAAACACGCGGCCGCACAATCGGTTAATCCGACGGCGATAGATTGTAGTTTGTTTGTGTAAGCCGATAATGGCGATAAAACATGTCAATGTCAATGTGTTGAAAAATTCCTTTCACCGGCTACCGACGCAGGTAGCGAGAGGTCAGGTTAGTGTGAGGTGACCTCTGTGTGACCCGGTCACTTCATCGCCCAGCCAACTAAAGTCAAAGAGCGCAGTTTGAAAATCTGTCCCCGTCGTTTTATGCGAGAAAAATTATGAAATTATGAAAACTGAGCTAAAAAATGTGAAATTATGCGATTCTGTTAATTTAAAAAAGGAAAGGTAAAGGAAAATGAATTATAAATTATGCAAAAAAAGATCAGATTTTGGTAAATTATGCGGGGTGCATAAGACCACGGGGACAGATCAATTGAAAAATTGAACATGCTCAAGGAACAAAATCCCTTACCCATAACCATAAATCAAGATCTTCTAATCTAACAAGGGAAATAAACAAGTTGTTACTTAAATAAGACTTATTACGGTGATCACTTCCCTTAGGCAAATGGCGGGACGTTTGAAACTTGAATTTTTGTGAAAAAATGGAGAAAAAAAATACGTGAAAAAACGCGAGGATTCCAAAATGTTGCAGAATTACGCGAAAAACAAACCAAAAAAAATTAAATTAAATTAAAATAAAATAACGCGGCCGCACAATCGGTTAATCCGACGGCGATAAATTGTAGGCCTTACATGATAGCCTATGTAGTTAGTGTGGCCCGAAAATGGCGATAAAACATGTGTTGAAAAATTCCTTTCACCGACTACCGACGAAGACAGGTAGCGAGAAGTCAAGTTAGTGTGACCTCTGTGTGAACTGGACCACCTTGACCCGGTCACTCTATC